ACGTTTATAAATAACTAAGATAGTACGCGTGCGCTCCGATTGGCCGAGAGATGTGTTGGCATGAGAGTATGTAAACATGTGTAAGTCAAGATGTTTTGCTCTTCGCGCGCTAATCACACAAGCACGAATTTTAAAAAGCTTTGAGTTGAAAACTCGACAAAGTTACTTTATTTACCCATTCCATCGTCGGATGAAGCTTGGAAAATCTTTACAATTATGCTGTGCCAATTTTTTTTGCTTAAGCTGGCATTTTAAGCGAGAAAAACCCTTTTTTGGAAAGTATCTTTATTGCAAAACTATGAAACAAGAACTGATTACACGTACATTAAGCTTCGTGTACAAGACTTCGCGACTGGTAAGAATTTCTCTTTTAATCAGTAACCTAAACAAAGAGTTTTTCTTTTTTCTCGGGAAAGTTATTTTATAAAAGCAATAGAAAACTTTTTTCCTGTGTTTGCATAGCCTGATATAAACACTCGAGGGGTTGGGAGAATTCTTGACAGTTATGAAAACCCGAGAAGACGTCGAGGTTTTACATAACTGTCTCGAATTCTCCCAACCCCTCGAGTGTTTATATCAGGCTATGCAAACACAGGAAAAAAGTTTTCTATCGCCTAAATATTGCTTTTTTACAAAAATACTGTTACTTCGCCGTTTACAAGCAATTTATTTGTAAACGTTAAGTTTCACAGTGCATAAGGAAATGTACCGAATTTAGGCGAGTTAGCGCCGCGGCTTTTATCAACTTTTTCTCCAAAAATGCGGTGCTTATTTGAGAGCGGAGCTTAATACCATAGTAATACTGCTTAGTACCGTATTTACACGAATAAGCGCCGCGGGGCTTTTTAACCCCTAATACGGCGCTTATTTGAGGGCGGCGCTTATTCGAGTAATTACTGTAATTGGCAGCTTAAGAGTTTATTACATTTAGGGCAAATTGTTATTACATTTAGGACCGTTTATTACATTTAGGCCTTCTACAACTGTATGTGTGGTTTATATACCGGATGTTAGAGCTATGATTGTGCATTGTGGAAATATCGCAACGTGAAAAACAGGGATACCGTATTTATTCGAATAAGCGCCCAACCTCGAATTTGCGCCCTTCCTAAAGGCAGAAAAGGTTAATAAGCGCCCACAACCAAAACCCAAAAACGTGTCCTGGGTGGCAGCCGGTAACAAGGTTTAGAGAATTGATTTCTAAAGAGGGTGTGGCTTACATATAGCCTGCGAAAACATCCGTTTCTCCTCGTTCTTCGCCGCTGAGGGACGTTTCGCGGGGAGGAACGTCTGCGACTCAGGGGCAGAAATTCCATACTGATGACGCAATCCAGTGTTTACATAATAAATGGTTCCAAATACAAATTTGTCCAATTTTAGGTGTCTTTGGTCGATTTTAGTGAAGTGTTGTGTTCATCTGCCAACAAGCTCCAGCAAAACTCAAATGCTTCTTCTAGAGAAGACTATATTCCACAAATATTGACTGTTTTGGTAGAGATTCTTCGCGTTTACATTTGACCTTTGTGGCCTTTTGTCTCTTGTCTGTCATTCGTAAGCAACAGCTAAAACAATGTAATTACTCCGTCGACCAATCAGCGCTTCTGACCGGATTCCGGACAGATTTTACGTCATCAGTATGGAATTTCTGTCGCTGAGTCGCAGACGTTTCTCCGCGCGAAACGTCCCCAGCGGCGAAGAGCGACGAGAAAGGGATGTTTTCGCAGGCTAGGCTTACATAGGGCACATGACTCAAACCAATCCTATTAGTTCCCCCTTCGTTACAAGAACATTACCTCTAATGTTATGATCTTATTAGAGTTTAGTTCTCGTGGCTATAGTTCCGCCGGGTTTAGTACGTAATCAACTTAAAATCTTAATTCTTTTAACAGTTCAGTAATTTTTAGTTTTTCTTTTCAGATTTTGACGAGTGTGCAACAGGCAGCCATATCTGTGATATCAATGCGTACTGTTACAATACCGTAGGTTCCCACAACTGCACTTGTAATTCTGGACTCACTGGAAATGGAACGACTTGCATTGGTGTGTAGATTTTTGGTGTGGGTGACAACCAATTTCTCTGAAAAAAGTCAGCATAAAAACTGAAATATAACAGAATATAGCTTTAAATCATCACATCTTAGTTGCTCTCTGCGACGTCTTTTCCAATTGCGCCAAAAAAGGAAATGCGCAGCTAAATGGGACTCTTTCCAAACATATTCTGTTTCTTAGCCTCAGGTGGAAGTCTATTAGTTACAAACTCTTGCGTTTCTTTCAGTAATCAGTAGCTTGTGTTCTAGAGTGTCACCGAGAGTTTTTCTTGCTTTAGATTTAGATGAGTGTGCGGAAAATTCCCACAACTGCCCAGCGACATCAGTATGTAATAATACTGTGGGCTCTTTCATCTGCACATGCCCCGGGCTTTTGTTGGAATGGGATGGAACAAACTGTTCTGGTAAGTATAAATCACATGTAAAAAGGTTACGTGCGATTAAACGTTGATTGAAAACGCCGAGGCCAGAACCGTGTTTAAACATTTATTACATTTCATTGCTTTAGTATAGGTTGTGGCTTAATTTAATCTTTGATGCAATTAATTTTTTTTCTTTTTTTCCCCTAAAAGTCACCAGAGGACACTTCTTAACTTAAAAAAGGAAATAAAAATTGTCATCTTAACAAAATTGTTTTTCAAAATTGTCGGATAAAATTCGTAAGTGAATCATGAAACATATCTTACGAATAAGTTAGCCAAGTAAACAAGTAAGCGTGCTTTAATAGGTACAAGGAAACGCCTCCTCTAAGACGTATTAAACCTCCTATACTCTTTTTTCAGATGGCTGGATCTTTACAAATGTAAGCACTGGACGATTGGGAAGTATTCAGTCGTTCACAGTTCCAGACACTGCTCGTTATCTCATCAAAGCCTGGGGGGCACGGGGAGGAACGCACACGACAAATTATGGCGATTTTCCCGGAATTACCGTCGGAGGAAAAGGCGCGTTCATGGAGGGCACGTTTATACTGTTTAATCAAACTGTGCTGAGTATCGTGGTGGGGCAGAGGGGAGGAGATTCCGTGGAGGTGAAAGGAGGACAACCTACTAGTCAAACCGCAGCTGAGCTGGGACTGTCAGTCGAGGACAATGCAGGTACAGGGGGAGGTGGAGGAAGTTTTGTTTACAATACCACCACCCTGTTTATAGTTGCTGGCGGTGGAGGAGGTGCAAGCGCAGGAAATAACGGGGTAGACGGTCAGGAGGGTCCTAATGGCACTGATAGTGTTGGTCCTAACCCCACGTACGTGGGGAAAGGAGGAACTGATGGGAACCCTGGGGAATGTAATACTGCAGATGCTCTTTACCATGGTGGGGTTGGTGCAGGCTGGTTACACGAAGGCTGCAACAGAGTTGACATACAGCATGGAGAAAGAGGCGGCTCCCGAGCGCATGAATGGGTAGGAGGACGAGCTGGGGATATGAACAATGGAAATAACGGAGGACCACCCCCAGGGGCTGTAGGAGGCTATGGCGGTGGAGGAGGGGGTGCAGAGGACAACGGAGCATCAGGTGGAGGGGGAGGCTACTCAGGGGGAGGAAGTGGTCGTCGCATGCAACAAGCCGGAGGTGGAGGAGGTTCATATTGTGGTGGCATGAGTTGCTGTGGGGCAACTGATGGAAATTCGAATGATCAGGGCCTTGTGCAAATCATTCAGTTATTTGACTAAAACAGTTTCTATTAGGTATAGGTTACAGTAGTTTACGATTCGAAGACAAGATCTTTTAAAAGATAAGTCTTGTAAGGGGCTTTGTCGCTCAGCCAAGCGCAGCATTTGGAAGTTGAAAACAAATTGAACTACCGTAATATTCCGAAAATAAGCCCCTCCAAACAAGAGCCCCCCAAAATCGTAACGCAAAAAACCTTCGTTAAATCGCCCTTCCGAATATAAGCCCCCCGGAGGGCTTGTACGTGGAATTTGCCCTCGAATACAAAGTAAAGCAAAGCAAAAAGGGTAATTCTTTTCCCACTACAAGCTAGCCCAATCGATTTTGAAACGCAAATTCCCTCCGTACATAAGCCCCTCCGAATATAAGCCCCTCCAAAAATAAGCTCCTCAAAAAGGACCTTTGAAAAATATAAACCCCGGGGCTTATTTTCGGAATTTTACGGTAACTTCTTTTATCGATTATTATTATTACTATTATTATTATTATTATTATTATTTTTTCATTAACAAGTTTTTTCGCCAATGTTAAGTTTGATACTAATGATAGCAAGTATCCGGAAAACCAAACGGCTAAACAACACTATTACACTTTTACATTTGACCTTTGAGAAAATGGTCCTCTCCACGCAAAAAACGCGAACTTATTGTGTGTAAGCGATATTCCGAGCGAATTGTTTTATTGATACCTAAGAAAAAATAAAATATATATATAGTTGCAAATGAAGGTTACAAAGGCAAGTCCTATTGACGCACAGTTAGAGATATCCCAGGGCGGGTGACAATACCTGAACCTTTCTCACAAAGGAAATGGCCTGCAAGCGGTTGTGCCTGAAAAGTACTAAAAAATCGTGAAGATACCGTAAAGTTCCGATAGCAACAACCCCCCGAAAGTAGCGACCCCCCGAAATTAATGTCAATTTTTTGTGGCCGATAGTAAATCCCGAAAGTAGCGGCCCCTCAAAAGTAGCGACCCCCCCGAAAGTAGCGACCTCCCGAAAGTAGCGAGCCCCCTCCCCAGAAAGTAACGAGACCAAGTTTTTTAAATTGTATACCGTATACCTTTAATTTGTCAATCAATAGTCAAGATTTTAATGTACAATAATATGTTCGTGCAGTGTCACAAATTGTTCACGATAAGGCACCTTAATTTACAACAAGGGGAAGCTTTATGCCCCCATTCGTCCTTGACATCAGTTCACTGTTGTAGCCTTGTAAGAACTACCGTAAACCGGCATAATTTCGTATTAACAACAGGAACGTTTCTTCAAATTGAAATTGAAAACTCTATATAGTTTTCGTCGATTAACATGAACGTTTTTCTTCCAATTAAATGACACTGAGATACCGATACGGGGTACAGACTAAAACGCAGCGGTGCGTCATGCAGGATAATCGAAGCAGTTTAGCTTTCCACCTCTGAGTCAGTGAAGAACTCGATCTCCTCTATATCAGCTGATTCACCCATGTGGTAGTGTGGTAAACCATCGATACCATCGCAAAAAAAGCTCGTGCCAGCTCTGTTTGTAAACGAGTTTTGTTCCCCGAAAGTAACGACCCTCCGAAAGTAACGATCCCCCGAAAGTAGCGACCCTCAAAGGCTGCTAATTCCGAAAGTAACTAGGGTCGCTACTATCGGCACTCTACGGTATGCTGGTAAAAGATAAGAAAGAAATCATACTCCGATAATTCTTCACCTAAGGTAGGAAAAACGTGATATGGAAAATGTGAATGCCTGAAATGGGGTGCTTTGCTCGTGCCATCGGCTAATGGTGAATTAAAGTTCGGCAACACGGCAAGATTTTGAGAGCTTTCGTAGCCTGCAGTGCAGGCGTTTTTTTGAGCGCGCAATTTGCTCGCGAAAGCGCCATGTTGAAACTTCCCGAAGAGAGGAGGAAATGGGGCGAGTCAAAGGGAGCGGGGAGTACGTACTACTCTCCCCGATCTTCCACTGTCATAAAATCAAAGATGGCGGCTACAACAACATTGCGAACACGAACAAGGTTTCGCCCACCCAAAATACGCCTGCAATACAGGCTAGAGCTTTTGTGAAAGTTTCAAAGACGCTCAATAGAGTCAAAACAGGAGCCCCATGACCCGGAGCGTGCAACTGCCATAAATCCGTGCAACGGCGTTTTTACAAGTGAGTTTATTTTTAGATAAGCTCCTGGTCAAAATCATTTTATTTGGTTGCTCTGAAGTTTTTTTTTTCACAGGTCGTCAAGAACATTTTCCTTAACAGTTTGGTGCCAATATTGAGAACGCGTAAAATACCCAAGGAAGCTTTGGCTGACGAGCAAAAAAAAAAAACAATGAGGTTAGCCTGATTGCTTCATATATTTTTTTATATTTTACATTTTTTAGCATGGAGTCCATTCCAAGTCCACTGAACTTCTGTGTTTCAGAGACCATTGATAAGAAATCATACTCATTACTGCACCTTAGTTCGAACTAGAGCACAAAACTTTTCTCTGTCTAATTTTGAGACCCGAAAATCAATTCCCTTCAGTCAATTCAATGCAAGACCAATTCCCTTTGCCTTTGTAGGGGGTTTACGAGCAACTCGCTCGCTGAGCGTAGAGGTACCAGGTATCTGAGTTTACATCTTGTTGTTCTTTAATCTTTACAGCAGCTCATATGTCTTGTTTACAGCATCACTTAACGAACTCTGCTAGGCAACTAGCTGTAACTAATCTCAACTACTCTCTCTCTTCTCTTGAGCTAAACACTGGCAACTTATATAAGTAAAACGTTGGTACGTTTAGGCTTGCCTGACCATGAGAGTTACAAACGCTTTTCCGAGTGATTTAAACGAATTTCCTGTTGATAACCAAAGTGGAATAGACAAACCCATAAGGAAACCAATGAAAGCGTCACAGCTAAACCCACGAGACTCTACCTTAACCCAAAACAGGAACTCTGATGTAGATAACAATCAAGGTCAGTAATGTTCCCAAAACGTACCCACTTAAAAACTGACAATCAAACTTAATTAAACCCCAAGCTTGATGACACTTCGGTCGACAAACCCATTAAAAAGGTAATAACACTCAAAAACCTGTTAACACATACCGTATTTATTCGAATAAGCGCCCAACCTCGAATTAGCGCCCACCTCGAATAAGCGCCCACCCCCTACTCCTCCCAATCAAACTCAAATAAGCGCTCACCCCACCCCACCCACTTGAGTGAATAAATTCTAATAAGAGACTTCCCCGAGGACGGAGTCTTCTTCAGAGTATTTTACAGAAATCTTGCTTTGTTACTTCTTCGCGTTTTGTTATTAGCATTTATTGTTTTGTTACAAAATAAATATACTTCACTTGCTGAAAATAGTGAAAATTTAATAAGCGCCCAGCCTCGAATAAGCGCATAGTCTCAAGGTCCAAAAATTTAATAAGCGCCCAGGGCGGTTAATCGAATAAATACGGTATACGGATTAACCTTGATCTATAAACTGTTCATAACAAGACTCTAGTCACGAGTGAAACGTCAAGCACAAACACGAAAAAAACTTAAAATACTTCACAACACCTTCTACGCAGAAAGAACCACATTCGATAGAACGTGTATCTTCAAGACTGGGACTGATCCCAGTCTCTAGTCCAGGGACTTCTTACTGAACCAAACAGTTTTGTAATAAGAAGGCATGAATTTCAGCATGCAAAACGAGCATATTTTAAAGCACTTTCCAATTCGTTTCTAGCTGACTAGTGTCTTAGTCTTTACTTTATGGTATCCTCAAAGAGGTTGAACTTGTTTATGAAAACTCCGTGGATTCTTCAGCTTTAACACGTTTCCTTTAAATCAGACTTGTTATCGATGAAGATAACACCAACACGATTTACAGCTCCGTTGCCGCTGAAGTTGAAAGGTCTGACGTTCGGTTCTGTGCCCAACTGCAACGTCCACACGGAAAGATTATACTAATCTTCTTCAAAATAATTTTGTATTCTCGTCTGAAGCGCCTGTTGGTAGCGCCATATATAAAGGGGTTAATAGAGCTACTTAAGTAGGCCAGAAACCCGTAAGTAAGGTACATCTGTCTTGGCAAAGTGGGCTCCCCGCGTGCTGCGTCGATGTAATCCGTGATACAAATAGGAAGCCAACACAGCGAGAAACTGGCCATGACCAAGGCTAATGTCTTGGTCACTTTGGCTTCTTCGACGTTTGCTCTGAGCTGTTCAAGGTTATTTTCTTGCGTGAAAACACGATTTGATCTTGAAACTGTGTAGAACACTTTGGCGTAGCAGAAAGTGATGAGTGTAAAGGGCGTAGCGACAAACACACATTCGATGAAGACGGTAAAAGCAATGTTACTTTGGAATGGGTACATGCACATTGCTTTTCCTGGTTGGAAAGTGTATCCGCCTGTCTGAAAAATTAGCGGAGGCACTGAACCAAAGAGAGCCATACACCATACTGCCGCAGTGTACATCAAAATTCTTTGCCTCCGGAATAATACAATGTACCTGGCTGGTTTCACCACGGAAACATATCGGCTAACTGCAATGACCCCCATAGTAAGTAGAGATGATATCGCAAACGTTAAAATTGCAAAGCCCTGCAGTCGACAAACAGTAGTCCCGAAAATCCATCTGCCTTGAACGAGAGAAGCAATTGAAAAAGGCATACCGCAGACAGATATTAATAAATCGCTAACAGCCAGTGCTATAACAAACATATTGGCAAGCGAACGAAGTCTCTGGTTTCTATACACGGCGCAACAAACAGAAATGTTACCAGAGATGGCCATTATGTTGATAATAGCAAGGAAAACTGCTTCAGTCCAGATTAAAGGCGGTGCTCTTTTGAGGAGCTCTCTGTAAAGCAAATGTTCCATAACGGGGCTGACTCAAACGAATTCGTTGAAAGAATTCAGGAAAATCGTGTCAAGATCTCAAATTTGTGGCCAGGCTTTGAGCTCTGCTGTTTTCGATGTTTGAGGGAAGTAATCTTTTTACAGCAGGTGTTTGTCTCGTCTCATTTATGAAAATGTTTTCTCAGTAGTTATTTATATAAATACCAAACAAGAAAGTAATTTGAATTCCTTCTTTCACAGCCAAGAATTAAACAGTGGCAATATGTAGTTCCAAAAGTAGAAATATTCTAGTAGCCAAGAGCGTCTGCCTCTCCGTCTGTTAGGGTACTGGAAAAGATTTTCCAGAATACGGAGAAATTCGATCTTTGTCACTCAAGCCGTCCGTTGGTTTCATTCACTTCGCAGACACGGCTACGGCCGCACTTGGGAACTTAGCCGGGTTATTTCCAATTAACTAATTAAAGTTAAAACGTACAAAAAAAACCCGAGTGCCGCCGGGTTTTCTAGTCTTGACCGAGTTCTAAGCGGGTTTTTATGGCGCGTTTTCCTTATCAAAATTCAACTGCTCCACTCGTTTTTAAGATTTGACATTCGTATTTTTCAAAGTCAATATTCGTTTTTAAAGTTCGTCATTCGTCTCTCAAGTTTGACGTTTGTTTTTTTTTTCGATTTAACATTTTCATTTTGTTTTTCAAGTTTGACGTTAAGTTTATTCAATTGAACATTCGTTTTTCAACTCTGACTTTCGTTTTATTCCATTGAGCATTTGTTTTTCAACTTTGACGTTCGTTTTATTCCATTCAACATTTTTTTTATTGGACATTTGTACTTCAAGTTTGACATTTGAGTTATAAATAGCAGCAATCGTTTTTCAACTTTGACATTCGTTTTACAAGTTCAACATTCGTTGTTTGTACAACTCAAAATCTTAAACGTCGATAAAACGGCTTCCAAATGACTACAGAAAAAAAGATGCAGTGAATAACAAAACAAAACCAAGAGAGGAGTCATTTTTATCTCTATTTTTGTCAAAAAATGGAATTTAGGACGTATTTTGCTTATTTTCATACATTCTCTTATAAAATCAAAGTCTTACGAACTCCCACAGAGTCTGGGCCGCCTGTGCTGAAAGAGGCATACAGCAGACCGGTATTACTAAATCACTATCAGCCAGTGCTATAACAAACATAATATTGGCAAGTGAATGAAGTCTCTGGTTTCTATGCGCGGGCGTAGGAAACAGAAATGTTCCCAGAGATGGCCATAGAAATATGTTGATGATAGCGAGTAAAATTGCTTCAGTCCACATTAAATGTTGTTCTCTTTTGAGGAGCTCTCTGTAAAGCAAATGTTCCATAACGAGGCTGACGTAAACGGATTTGTTGAAAGAATTCAGGAAAATCATGTGAAGATCTTTAATTTGTGGCCAGGCTTTGAGCTCTGCTGTTTTCGATGTTTGAGAGAAATAGTCTTTTTACAGCAGGTGTTTGTCTCGTCTTATTTATAGAAAATGTTTTCTTCATTTTCATTTCATTTCCGCAGTTCATATATGATTTATTTAATCTATAATTAACAAAAGACGTTTTCTCAGTAGTTATTTATAAAGATGGCTTTCACACTGACGTCATTAAATTGTAACGTCAAAATAGAAGATAAACAAAAAATAAATCCTTGTACAAGTTTCCAGTCCCGTAGCATAATTCATTTCGAAAACAAAGCAATTTGAAATACCGAGTTTTCACAATGCATGACACCAAAGTAGGAATGCTGTCTAGTTAAAAAAAAAAGTATCTTCCAAATGACTCAAGACGAAAAGAGGCAGTAAATAACAAAACAAAACCAAGAGGGGAGTCATTTTTATTTCATTTTTATTGAAAACTTTAAATTTCGTCCCGCCTTTTCTCCCGACCAGACTGATTGCCCCTGGCTCTCCGAGGATGGTATCACTAAGGGACCGGAGATTATTTATGTAAAGGGGGGTGTGGAGGGAAAAAAGAAGGGGGGATCAAGGCTATATCAGATTGGCTAGAGGAGGGGGGGGCTAAACATTCTTATAAAGAAGTTTAGGAGGGGTCAGCAGTTTGATCGCCAGGTATATTTTAAGAGGGGTCCATTGGCCAAGATGGGTAAAACAGTTAAATTAAACTAAATTAAATTTATAACAATTTAATGGCAATAAATTAAGTGATGGACATAATAATGATATAAAAGGCCAAAAGGACGATTTGCAAAAGAGTTATGCTAATCCTATTACTTTTTGTTTAAGCACCACTAATTTGTACAACTTAGTCATTTGTATTTGACAGAAATTCTGTTTGCACTCTAAACTTCATTGTTATTTCAAATTTTAGCTAATAAAGAATCCAGACCTATCTGCTTTAATATTTGGTCGGAGTGAATTTTCTTATAACAAAATGCTTGTCACTTTAGTAGTCCAAGAAAAACATAATTAAACAACAAGAAAGTAGTCCTTTTACAACTGTAGGAACATCATTTGAAAAGAATTATATTTTACATGGTTATTACATTTGTGTTCTCCATGAAGGCACTATTTTTAAAAATCTATCACTTTTCTTCTATTTAACAAAACAACACTTTTATGAGCTGAAAGTATGTTACATGCATTTTAATACTTTAATTACTTTGTAGAGGAATAATACACAAACTGCTTTTACAAACATCAGAAATAACAAATGCTTTGTATAACTGACTTTATAATATCAAATTTGACGTTTCGCCTGCTTCAACATACATCTTCAGAAGTGATCGTTAACATGAGTAGTAACTATATTTAAATCAAAAACGACGAAGTGAGATAAAAGTCAGTTATTCAATGCGTTTGTTATTTCTTGTTCCTGTTATTTCCTTTTAAAACTGAGACGGCCAAAAATCAAGAGCATTTACGATATACTTTGTAGAGCATATGTGAGGAGATATGAAGTGGGGGAGGGGGAGGGGGTCAACAAGTAAATATTGAATAAAGTAGTTGGTCAGTTGCTATTTACATGGTCTGCAGGGGGGGCCTTACAGAAATTTTGATCTTTTCAACATATTTTTCCCTCCCCCCCTCCACATAGGAAACAGAAATGTTACAAGAGATGGCCACATTGTGTTGATGATAACAAGGAAAATTGGTTCAGTCAAGATTGAATGTTGTGCTCTTTTGAGGAGCTCTCTGTAAAGCAAATGTTCCATAACTGCGCTGACTTAAACGGATTTGTTGAAAGAATTCAGGAAAATCAAGTGAAGATCTTTAATATGTAGCCATGCTTTGAGTTCTGCTGAATTCGATGTTTGAGGGAAGTAGTCTTTTTACAGCAGGTGTTTGTCTCGTTTCATTTATGAAAAATGTTTTCTCACTAGCTATTTATATAAACACCAAACAAGAAAGTAATTTGAATTCCTTCTTCTTTCACAACCAAGAATTAAACTGTGGCAAAATATACCTCAAAAAAGTAGAAATATTCTAGTAGCCAAGAGCGTCTGCCTCTCTGTTTTCCAAAAATACACGGAGAAATTTGACATTTGTCACTTAACCTGTCAGTTGGCTTCATTCACTTCGCAGACATTTCCTTGTTTGTGATGGTTTACGGGTTTGTTAAAACTTGACATTTAATTCATTCACATCCAACATCTTCGTAAAGAATATTTTCATACCGTTACGGTCTCATTTGTGAAGAGATAATGTACGGTCAGTGTCGGTCAGAAAATAACTTTACTTTATGTCAAATGCAACAAAGCGTTCGTACTCTATTATTAGAAATAAATTTTCTTTTTACAAGACGCTGAGTGAACGAAACGGCTTCTTCTACGCGAATACACGGAAGTTGTAGACAATCCATTGAGCACAAAACTCAGCTACAGTAAGTTAAAAAACGCCATATTGAATCCTTCCAAGACTTTTCTTGCCTTACAAAAAGTCAGTCCTAGGATTTTGTGGACTTTTAAAAGATCGTTCTCTCAAAAAATTGGAAAAACTCTGAGCTCACACATTATCCACCCGCTAGGAGGTGAATAATGTTGAATAGTCCGAGATAGCGAACCAATCAGATTGCTTAAATCACCAAGATACTGAGTGTGTATATATTTAATTTTCTATATTTTCGGTCGATAACAGCTGGACTATTGAAGGAAGTAGTCTTTTTACAGCAGGTGTTTGTCTCGTTTCATTTATGAAAATGTTTTCTCAGTAGTTATTTATATAAATACCAAACAAGAAAGTAATTTGAATTCCTTCTTTCACAGCCAACAATTAAACAGTTTCAAAATTTACCTCCAAAAAGTAGAAATATTCTAGCAGCCAATAGAGTCTGCCTCTCTGTTTTCCAAAAATACACAGAGAAATTTGACATTTGTCACTTAACCTGTCAGTTGGCTTCATTCAGTTCGCAAACATTTCCTTCTTTGTAATGGTTTACGAGTTTATTAAAACTTGAAATTAATTCATTCGCATCCAGCATCTTCGTAAAGAATATTTTCATACCATTACGGTCTCATTTGTGAAGAGATAATGTACGGTCAGTGTTGGTCTGACAATAACTTTACTCTATGTCAAATGCAATGAAGCGTTCGTTCTCTATTATTAGGAAGATACTAAATTAGAGTTTGAAAAACAATCTATTCTAATTGAAATTTTTATTATGATGCCGACAATGATTCTTATTATATATGCACACCAATCATCCGAGACTTGCATTTCTTTTCCGAGTTTATCAAAAAGTTTAATGGCGATTATAATGCAGTGCAACAACTTGTATGTACAAAATTTAAAGCTCCAACACCAGTAAACTTGGCGGATTATCGGACGTTCGATTCTGTCTTCAGCTGAAACGGCCACAAGTAAAGATCAAACCAATCTTTTTCAAAACAGTTTTGTACTCTTGTCTGAAGCGCCTGTGGGTAGCGCCATATATGAAGGGGTTAACTGCACTGCTTAGGTAGACCAGAAACCCGTATGTGAGATACACCTTACGTGGCAAAGTGGGCTCCCCGCGTGCTGCGTCGATGTAATCCATAATGCTGATAGGAAGCCAACATAAGGAGAAACTGGCCATGACCAAGGCTGATGTCTTGGTCACTTTTGCTTCTTCGACGTTTGCTCTGAGCTGTTCAGGGTTATTTTCTTGCGTGATAACGCGATTTGATCTTGACACTGTGTAGAACACTTTGGCGTAGCAGAAAGTGATGAGTGTAAAGGGCGCAGCGACAAACACACATTCGATGGAGACGGTATAAGCAATGTTAGTTTGGAATGGGTACATGCACATTGCTTTTCCTGGTTGGAAAGTGTATCCGCCTGTCTGAAAAATTAGCGGAGGCACTGAACCAATGAGAGCCATACACCATACTGCCGCAGTGTATATCAAACTTCTTTGTTTTCTGAATAAAACAATGTACTTCGTTGGTTTCACCACGCAAAAATATCGGCTAACTGCAATAACCCCCATGGTATTTAGAGACGCCAATGAAAACGTAAACATCGCAAAACCCTGTAGTTGACAAACAGTAGTCCCGAATATCCATCGCCTTTGAAAGAGAGTAGCAACTGAAAGAGGCATACAGCTGACCGATATTAGTAAGTCACTGACAGCTAGCGCTACAATAAACATGTTGATAAGCGAACGAAGTCTCTGGTTTCTATACACGGCGTAGCAAACAGAAATGTTTCCAGAGATGGCCATTATATTGACGATAGCAAGGAAAATTGCTTCAATCCAGACTAGATACTGTGCTCTTTTGAGGAGCTCGCTGGAATGCAGATGTTCCATAATACGGGGCTGATTCAAACGAATTCGTTGAAAGTATTCAGCGAAATCTTGGGAAGATCTTTGTAATAATTTGAACTCTACTGTTTTCAACGTTTAAGGGAAGTAACCTTCTATACTGGATCAGGTGTTCGTGTCATTATTGAAAAATGTCAAATCAATAGTTTTTTATATCAACACCAAGTTTGAAGTTAATTTGAATTCACAGTTTACAGCTAGCCAAGACTCAAACAGCTGCCCCAAAAAGAAGAGATATCCTAGTAGCCAAGAGTGTCTGCCTCTCCGTCATTTAGGGGTAAACTAGGGCGCTTAAGTTCCAACGACGGCGACGGCAACAAGAACGTCAGAAAAAGCAATAGGTTTAATAACCAGAACAACAAATTGGCACGCGCATCACGCTTTTTTGTACATTTCTTTGCCATCACTGCACGACTACGACGTGAAAATGTCTATTTTCACTTTTTACAGCGGAAGTGCACAATTAAGCGACGACGAAATTTCCTCTCTCTTTTTGAACTTGGATATGGTTCTTAGGAATTCAACTTTTAGAAGGGTTCACCTTTGACAAAGTTAGTGACCTGGAGTAATCGCGATGAAGATTGAAAGAACGCGAATTCACTTTTTCAGCGACGTTTTCGCTGCTGTCGCCGTCCTCAGATCTTAAGGTCCCTAACGTTTTCCAATGAATTGGGCAATTCGATAGTGGTCACTTAAGTAGTCGGGTAAGCTAGTCGCAGACATTTTCTTGGTTGTGATTGGTTTATGGGTTTATGGGTTTATGGGTTTATTTGAATTAATTCATTTGCATCCAATATCTTCCTAAAGAGTATTTTTATATAACTGTGAAAGGTTTGAACCCATGAGTCATTTCAAAAGTAGGTTGAGTTTGATCGTCTTGCTGAACGTACTCCAACAGTCAGACCAACGTCAACTCTGGCCCTGTTACGACAGCGACTATACCGTACATCAGAGGCACCTCTGAAACCATCGCACGTATACTACTAGCCTGCGTAACTGGCGGTATTGTGTAGTAGTCGAGTGAGATTTGGCGGCCGGGCCGTTGTAATATAGTCGAGTGAGATTTGACGGCGGAACCGTCACGAGCGGCGAAGCCGCGAGAAATACCGCCTGCCAGAGAACCATGATTTTTCGAATGCCGCCCACTTTTGTCAAGTTAGCTGATCCCAATGAAATCAGCCAATCAAAGAGAAACCTGCAGTTTGAAACTTCCGATTATTTTCACGCGAGACAGTTTAGAAATAAGCGTTGACAGGCTAAACACTACTCCTAAGCTCGTGATAATGTGAAACGTGACCTTGTGAGTTTGCTTGAACGGAGGTTTTTTTTATTTTCTCGGCTCTCGCTCGAAGGTTACCAGCACTACACAGTGCATGTACAACTCTAAACTTTGACTCAGTAAATCTTTTTTTGCAACACTATAGGCTTAACATTAAAAGGTCATGAAGCTGGTTTGTTACATGCATACTTAGTAACCATTTCCGGTGGTTTATTCTTCTGTAGGTGTTCCTGATAGGATTTGATGTCAGATGCAGTTGTAAAGTGTTTTAATTTTCTTTGACCTTTGTTTCTTACGGCTAAATTAAGACAATTCCAGCGCTGTGAAGTTTTAAGACGCCATTTCGGAAATTTGGTCATCAATTATGCTATTTTTAAAGCGGAAATCACAATCACAATCACTTTACATGTACGTCTTTTTCAGTTTGCCATCTGCTTCCTAAAATGGGAAATATACGCGAAGGCTCATCTAACATGATTGACATATGTATGGCCCTCGACCAATCCGTTTCCCCGCACACTGGTGTGCGGACTATTCAAAATACCGGGGTTTTCTGGCAGGCGGTATTTCAACCGCCTCGTCCCTACTCCCTTTTTTTGGAACACGGCTCCGCCGCCAAAACTTTAATCTACCCAGGCTAGTATACTACAACCTTATAATATACGTGTTGCACACAAACCGATAACCACGTTACGACGATAACTTACTAATGTCAAGGACAAAGACAAACCGGAGGACAGACAGGGAGCACTATACAAGATCAAATGCTGCTTCTGCCAGGCTTCTTACTTTGGTGAAACCGATAGAAACCTAAGCACGCGAATGACCGAAAACAAACGAGCGACCAGAAATGGTGACGTCAACCATCACATTGCTGAACACTATTTACAGACGAAACATCAAATCGAATGGGACTCTGCGAGATGTATCACGTATTCTATAGTCTACACACTTTAGAAAGCTGGTTTACTAACTTAAGACAAACGTCCTTGAATCGTAGTCAACAGTTACCGGCACCGTACAAACAACTAATTGACAAAATCAAGCAAAACTTACTACGAGAGAACGACTGGACAACTGACAATTTGACTAACAATAGACGGATCGAAACGCACCAATTACATTACGAGTCTTCATAGCCAACAACGACGTAATTGACCAGTCTGTCAGGGCAATAACCAGAGTATAATACCATCAACTGGCGTGGTACAACTCATTTTGACTCTGAAGATGACTACTTCTATGCCTAGATAAAAATATCTAAATATTTTTAAAGATATTTAGAAGATTTTGGGATATTTAGAAAATCTCATGATATTCAGGAAAAAATTGTGATATTTAGAATTTGAAAAGTACTGAAATCATGTTTTTTCTAGGAAGCTACTTCAATGCTAATTAGGGCATAGGCATTTCGGTGACAGAAACTCAAACAAATCTCCACATACGGGCTTGTTGTAATCAGATTCAGCAATATTCTTCATTTATAATATATGCAATGTGGCTATTGTTCAACAAAATGGCTGATGACGAACCCTTTAAGCCACGCACAAAACAAACGGTAGTGTCCCTTTTAGACCACTTTAGAGCTCCAGCACCTAATGTTCTTTCACTATCTCTGCCTGTATTAAAGTGCAGTACCCTAGTCTTCTTGTAGGCTGAGGGGTACTGTAAATAAGACTGACTTTTTGTGAAATTGCTTAGAGTTTTGTTGTATGCTGTACAAGAATATACTTTCCTGAAATTTGCTGAAATTTGTGTTGCCATTTTAGATGAGAATGTAATATTTTATTTTATAAGATATTTAGAAGAAAAATCGGAAATTTCTGGAAACATATTTAAATTGCCATTTTTCATGATATTTGTATCTAGGCCTAACTATCGCACAGGTTGTCGAAACGTCAGTCACTGTCAACAAGAACAGTGATTTTCAGGACCACGTTCACCCGGACGATGAAACTCAACCTACTTTTGAGTATTTTCATAATAAGGTCTTATTTTATGAAGGTATAGTGCAGTCATTCTTAATCTTGGAAAATAACTTTACTTTATTCCTAATGCAACAAAAGCTTCGTACTCTCTTCAGTATAAGAATAATACTGAAATAGAACTTGAAAAACCATCTATTCTTACTAATTGAAACACTTATCATAATGTCGAAAATGATTTTTCTCGTACATGCACATCAATCATCCGAGAGTTTCAATTCTTTTAATTTCCAGCTGCAAAAATTTAATGGCGTTTATAGCAGAGTGCGACAACTTTTTTTATAAGAAAATGCGATGGCCTGTTATTACAGGGTGCAAAAGCTAAATTCATTATCAAGCACGACAGTTTTATTGCAAAGTGCGAGAGAATAGCATCTCCTCGAAATATTTTGTATTAAAAACCCTCTTAGATATGTCAAACAAGATTTCCCTTTTGTTTCATATATCTCATCATGTGAAATTCCTGGCCTCTAATTAATATACCCAGGAAGCCTGAAGAGTGTACTGCTTTCGGTAGGAGCCCTAATGTATAGCCATTATAGGGAGTACCCTCTCAGGGTTTGGGAGGGGAGGGCAAAAGAGTATGGCCTTAATTTTTTGCAGAAGGACGGAGACATCCCCAGTAATCTGCTTGAGGGATTGCGTTTCAAAACAGAAAACCACCAGAATAGATGGGTAGGGACATGAAGGTCTGAACAAAGGACATCAAAACCAGTTTTAACTGCTTTCGATGTCATTTGGCAGTTTTGCAATTTTGCCATCAGCTAATCCGTGCACCCTTGGTTATAAAATCCCCAAACAATAAAACCATGCAAAGAAAAGAAATACGGCGCCACTTTGTGCAAAACAAAGGAGCGCATACCCCAAAGTGCTAAAATCAGCTGCAATGCAGACAACTGGGGTACAGAGGTATATAATGCTAAACACCTTCAGTAGCGAAATGGCTGCAGAAATGAAAAAATACCCCTAAGCTCCCCTAAATGTAAGTGATGTCCTTGACTGCAATTAAAATTTTTAACGAACAATTAAACATGTCACAAAGAAATTGAATATAATTCCTCCTAACGTACCTAATCCCCTGGTCCGTGCCAGCAAAATAGCTATTTATGCCTGTTCCGTGATGCTACACAGTCAGTAGCTGTCAGTAGATGTTGAATCATCTGGAGCTAATATTTTCGCAGTAACTGAGACATGGCTCTCAGAAATTGATGATGCGTGCAGAGCCGGAATCACCCCACCCGGGTACAAGCTGTTTGATCACACACGATCTGATCGCTCTGGTGGTGGAACTGCTCTATCGATAAGAGAAAATCTACATGCAAGTCGTGTAGATGCTGGTGAGCGTACTTCTTTTGAGTCTTCTCATTGGATGGTTGAGTTCCAGTCGCGAAAACTACAGATTATTATTATTTACCGTCCACCCTATTCGAGTAACCATCCTGTCACGACGAGTGTATTCTTTGCTGATTTTTCGAGTCTTTTGGAGAGTATCATAATGTCATCTGTAACGTTAGTGATAGCAGGTGATTTTAATATCCATGTAGACGTTCCGGGGAACGCAG